CTGAGCTCCCAAGCGGCGCACTGTAGCAGTGCGCCACCGGGCCGGCCCAGATCACTAACTATTTGATAAACCTCTTTTACATGAATGTCAAATATTACAACAAATGGAAGGAACCAGAACTCATAGAATTAAAATTAAGAAAAATTAAAAATTCAAAAAAATTGGAAGGTAAAGAGAATATCTCTCAGAAGACAGAACAAAAATATTAAGAGATGGAAGAATAGATGAGAAAAACAAGAATATCAGACAATTAATCAAACTTCCTACTAACAGGAATTCCAAAAAGAGAAAAGAGGGGAGGAAATTATTAGGTAATATTTTCCTGAACAAAAGGACCTGAGTTTTTAGGTTAAAAAGACTCACACAAAGTATCCGGCACAGTAAGTGAAAAATGACCATACCAAGACATAGCACTGTGAATTTAATATCTAAGAGCTTTTGGAAGGAAAAAACAAACACCATTATAGACTGGGACTCTGAAGAAAAATATATAAGAAAAAAACTTCTAAATTTGGAAAGAAAACGATTCCAAACCCAGAGTAATAAAACCCAGCAAAAATATCTACCAAATTTGAGGCAGAATAGATATTTTCACATGTGCAATAACACAAAAATCTGCCCTCCGTGCACCCTGTTCAGGAAACTACTAAAGAATGTGCTTCCATAAAAATAAGGCAGTAAACAAAGAAAAAAGAAGCCATGGGCTCCAACAATGAGAGACTTGTCCTAAGACAGATGGAAATCTGAGGATCCCCAGAGTGAGGTAGAGAAGCTTCCATATAACAGCTGCATGGCAACAGCCCTAAGCAGCCACCAGTCCAGATGCAAGCATGAGATCTGAGAGCTCTAAGATGGGCATCTCCAAGAAAAAAAAAACCCTGACTTGCTTGCTAGTTTGATAGGTGTTTACCAGCTTTGGTGACAAGTCTGGTAATGAATTAATAATACTCATGTAAAAACTAAACAAGTGAAAAATGGGGCAAGTAGCAAGGAAAATAAAAGTTATGTAACAAAGGGAATATAGTGTATTACATGGCTCTGCTGTGAACAATATACGTGGTCATAATAATGTAAATACTGCATATTAACTAGAAGTTGTGACATAATTACATTTAGAGTATATATTTGGGGGCAGGGAAATAAAGTCTAAATCCTTTTAGATGAATATGTCTTATTATTTTATCTTATTATTTTTTTTTTTTGGTGGCTGGCCAGTATGGGGATCTGAACCCTTGACCTTGGTGTTACAAGGCTGTACTCTAACCAACCAAGCTAACCCCCTAAATCTAAGGCTAAATCCTTTTAGGAAGTGAACAGATAAGGTTACAAAATAAAAAGTCAGTAACAATATAAGCATGTGATTTAGAAATACGGATGTAAACACCCAAATAAACTGATTAAAACATGTGAAAGTAGGGCTGGCCCGGTGGCGCACTGCTATAGTGCGCCGCTTGGGAGCGCGGTGGCCCTCCCGCCGAGGGTTCGGATCCCATATACAGACCGGTTCCCGCTCACTGGCTGAGCGAGGTGTGGGCGCAACACCGAGGTTTGCTATCCCGTTGCCGGTCACGGTCCGGTACAGGCGCGACACTGAGGGTTGTGATCCGTTGCCGGACATGAAAAAAATGACAAAAAGGAAAAAAAAAAAAAAAAACGTGAAAGTAGCTGCCTCTGGGTTGAGACGTACAGGGCAGGTTTGTTTTTCTTTGTTTTTCTTAAAGATGATCGGTAAGGGGATCTTAACCCTTGACTTGGTATTGTCAGCACCACGCTCACCCAGTGAGCAAACCGGTCATCCCTATATGGGATCCGAACCCATGGCCTTGGTGTTATCAGCACCACACTCTCCCGAGTGAGCCACAGGCTGGCCCTTTGCTGTTTTTCTTCGTAAGGCTTATAGTATTGCTTGATTTTTTGAACTATGTAACTATATTACTACTATTAAGAATAAATTAAAATTTAAAAATATACCAGGTTCAGCTCACGGTCATAAGTTACTCAATAAACGTTACCAAGCTTTGATTGCATGGGTCTTGGGCCGGGTTCAGCCTCAGTTCCTCAGATCAATTCTGGAGGACAATGGGCTTTGTCCAGGACCTAGGCATCAGCCACTTCACTGGCCACCTTGATATACCTTCTGCAGATCCTCTCATCCCTGCAACTGTCCCTATTTGTTTCTTTATCTGCCTTTCCTAATAGACTAAAAGCCCTATGAAAGCTGGATGTTGTATTTTTCATTTCTGTTCCTTTCTTTGCCCTCCTTTAGTGCCTAGCCTGGAGCCTAGAACCTGGCAGGTGCTTAGTGTGTTGCATATCTCCTATATGTGAGTGAAGGCAAAAGATGTTTATGGTCCAAAGAATCCCCTGTGAAGGTAAAAGTGCTATGGAAAGGGTGGGGCAGCAGGGTGAGGCTTTACAAGAAGGTGGTGGTGCCTGGGCCAGTAGCCTCCTCTTACTACCTGTGCAACTCCTCACTTATTCCTGTGCAACATTCTGTCTCACCTGTTGTGGTTCTGCCACCCAGGAGGCCACATGGCCACACCAGAACCTTCTGTCCTCCCCCACAGCTAGCCCAATGCACTGTCCTTGCTAGCATGTGCAACCTAGAGGGTTCAGGTGGGCTACTTAAATAAGCCCCTTCCCACAGCAACCCCAGCTACATTTGGAGGAACACTGCCATGTGCCAAGCAGGCCACCAATTGCTTTATGTGCACTGGCTCATTTAATTCTCACAGAAGTCCTAGTCAGGTGTTGGTCCTCCCTGCCCCTCATCTCATTTTATAAGTGAGAGAACTGAGGTTTGCAGAAGCTAAATACCTTTCTGATGTGCTCTTAACCATTATGCTGGAATCCTCAGTACCTGAGTTTTGCTTATAGTGGTGTCAGAACTCAAAGTAGACTTTTATTGTGAAAATGAAGGCACAGAGAGGGAAGTACCTCATCTAGGGTGATAGCACAGCTGGCGGTAGAGCCCGTACTAGAACCCTGTCTCTTGACTTATGGCCCAGCGCTTGCCCACTATCACGCATCAATCCATGCTTTGGCCAGCCTATCTGGGAATGACTAGGCAGCAAACGATTCCACAAGGAATGATCTCCTGCCTCGTTGCCCACTCTGCCAGTCATGAGTTGACATGGTGGGAAAGAGGCCCTCCTACCTTTCCAGCACCACTCTCTCCACTGACAACAATAGACTGGTTGACTGGCTCAGTCAGGCTCTTGACATTCCTGTAGGTCTGTTCACCCACAGTAAATATGTGGGGCTTCAGTTTCTGAAACATCAAGGGATGAAAGGTCATGTGAGGGAACACCTGTTTTCAAGAAGTGGTTGACCCCAATGATGGCTGAGATGGGGAGGCTGCCAACGGCAGTGCCAGAATGCTTCCTCCAGAAAAGTTTCCTGGATGTAACAGTGTTAGACTCAACTGTGGGACCCCTATGGTGGCTTTACCCACTCATCCTCTCTCAGCATGGAAGCAGTACTGGCCTGTACCAGTCTATAACATTAATACTATGCTCTCATCTTATCTTGGTTTAATGGTCTTATTCTGCTGCTTTTTATTTTATGTTATTGTACTTGGCAGTTTGCAAAAAGGTTTCTTACAAATTACTGCCTAGAAGTCTGTGCATAATTTGGATAGCTAGCCCTATTTTATAGATGACGAATCTAAGGTTCAGAGGAGTTATGTAAACTTCCAAGGCCATTGAGCAAAAAAAGTATATCCACGTGATTTGAATTCCAAAGCCACTGTTCTCCTTTCCTTCAACAAATATTGCCCTCAGTGTGCTGGGCATTAAGCTGGGCACTGGGGAAACAGAAGGAACCATGACCTGGCTTTTGCCCTTGAGGAGGCAGGGTAGTCAATTGGTGATAGGGGCTCTGAGGACAGACTTCCCCACTTGCACACTTTACTATGTGTGAACTTCTAAAGGGCCAGGCCATCTGCACAATGTCTAGCCAGCCCACCCAGCAATAGTCACTTATCCACAGCTTCCTGAGGGAGAAGGCACCTGCTGCAGATAGTGCCAGAGCCGTCCCTCTCTACACCTGCCCTTGCTCCAGCCACCTATCACCTGGACTGTTACAAAGCCTACAGCTGTTTTCTCTGCCTCCTGTCTCACCCTCCTAAACTCAACTCCCAGAGTAATTATTCCCCTAGTGAGCTGTGTTCACAGTGCCACCTTCACCCTGATAAAGAAACTTTGTGGATTCTCTCTGCCTACTGTGGTGCTTCAGACCCTTCACAAACAGTCCTGCCTTTCTCATCTTCCTTGTCTACTGCCTCTTTCCCCACAGCCTTCCTCCTGCCTGTAAGTTTGCTCTTGCCTCTCCCTAAACACATCATGCATTCTAACACCAAGAAGTCCATTCCCTGCCCACACCACTGCCGCAACCCCCCCCAATAATTTATTCTCTTCTCAGTAGAATAATTTATTCTTTTCAATAGAAATGAACATGTGCTGAATTTTCTAGGCAATCCTTAACACATGTAATTTTATTCTTTTCTAAAAAGGTGGTTTGTGGACCTGGCCAGTTCGTATCTCAGTTGGTTACAGCATGGTGCTATTAACACCAAGGTCTAGGGTTCAATCCCTGTACTGGCCAGCCACCCCCCCCCCCAAAAAAAGATGGTTTGTTAAATACACAAATATACCTTTGTAAATCCTTTCCTATTAATAAATCTGCAAATAAGTAAAAAAAAAAAAAAGAAAGAAAGAAATCCTTGCCCCTGAGCCCCTATTTTAGGTTCCATACTCAGTTAAACAAATATTTACTTATCCCCCACTTTGCACCTTCTGTCCTATAGTCAGTTCTTTATGTGTCCAAAATTCTGCAAGCTCCTGTTGGGCAGGGCCATGGCACCAACACTTTGAATGGTTACTTGGCTGATGAATAGATGCATAAGGATGTGGAAACTGCAGGGAGGTGAAGGGTGAGGTTGGAGAGGCCTGAGGCCACAGGAAGTGGCTAACCCTTACCTGGGGCTGAGGTGCAGCATGGTACTCTCTCATCAGCTCTGGTGAGTAGAGCTGAGGGACAGGCTTGAAGGGGTTCAGAGCCACCAGGGTACAGCCAGCATTGGTGTAGAATGTGTCTGCCATGTACCGGGCCTGCAGGCATCTCAGGACTGAGGCAGAGAACACATTTAGCAAACTCTGGCTCTAATACAGACAAAACCACACACACAGACACACATCTGCCGCACAGCCCTCCCTCTGCAATTAGCCAAGTGCCATTAGATCCCAGCAGCTCCCTGATGAATAGATACAAGATCTAATTAAAATGAGCCCCAAATCTGGAGCAAAGCCTGCCTTGGGGAGCCTAGGTGCAGCTGCCAGGCTCTCCCAGGCAGAGGCCTGGAGCAGCCCACCTGCCTCCATGTAGGTCAGGAGTCCTGCCTGCGTCAATGTGACCTGGGGGGGCTGTGCTGAATACCCTCATCACACCTCCACCATCATGGAGACGGCACTCTTGAGGAGTGGAAGGCCCATACCTGTCTCCAGAGTCACAGGATTCACCCTGGTGAGGTCATCGAGCTGGTGCAATGGGGCCTCTCCGCCCAGGAACTCCTGGAGGTCTTCTCTGAGGGAGTCCCTGCCTTGAGCATCAGAGCCTGAACTGTGGCCATTAATCTGCAAGGGAATAACCCAAGGGCCATGGGAACTGAGACTCAGACCAGCTGGCAGGTACATTAAGGGTGGGAGCCTGTATAGTAGAAAGAGAACAGGTCTCTAATATCATAGTCTGGTTAAGTTCAAATTTCAGTTCTGCCACTGTACTAGCCCTGTGAGTCTGGGTAAGTTTCCCTCTCTGAGCCACAGCTTCTTTATTTGTAAACAAAAATAAATTTAACTCACAGGGCTATTGGAAAGAAAAGTAAGAGATCTACAAAGCACTGAGTTAGTGCCTGACACACAGTATGTACTCAACAAACGCTATCCCATTACCTTTGCGAAGAGCTCCATCCAGTCAGCTTCCAGGCTACCAGCCTTACTGGGCCTGGCACAGGCGGGACCCAAAAGAGGGGCTGCTATAGGAGTATTGCAAAAGAAAAGAACCATGCGTTGGGCCTTTTTGGGAACAGACCATTCAGCTTGTGATGAAAGATGGCTGTATCTTCCCAAAGAGGGAGCCCCAAGCCTTCATCGCCTATCTCTTGGGGCTTAACTTTAGCCTGGCTAATGAACTGGTTCCCTCTGCCCTAGGTCTATTTGAGAGGAAGCTGGCTCAGAAGGCTGTATCAGGTCAAGAATGGGCACTAAGAGGAATAGCACCTTCCTTTTCCCTTGCCCATCCTTAATGCCAACACTTTCCACATGTTTCATCTCCCCACTTTCCTTCCATGGTCCCAGTTCTCTTCCCGTCTTTCTTGGGGATGCAGGAAAGATGGGGTGGGAATAGAAGACAGGCATCTGCTTTTGAAGGAAGAGGTCTGTGATATGACATATGTGAGTTTCCAATGAGACTGGTGAGCCCTAACAGTTTAAACACCTCAGGGAAACAGGCCAAGGTGGCAAGTTTCATCTGAGAGGCCCAGTAACAAGTTTCTTCCAAAGACGTTGCCTGTTCTCTGAACTTTGGGCCCACCATAATGCATGAGGCAGGTTCTGGGTCTCCTGGATAAGTGCTGAGGTCAGAGCACGGCTGGATCCATGCAAATCCCTCTGCTCTAGTAGAAAAAAAAAAAATAACAATCCACTCACAAACCCAGCCAAAATTTATGAACAACTCTAATCCATCCAGAGAGGCACCTTAGTGATCAGGAGCTTAGACTTGAAAGCTAGATTTCTTGGGTTTGAATCCTGATTCTACCACTTACTAGTTATATAATCTCTTGTTTAAGTTTCTTAATCTCTTTGTGCCTCAATTTTTCTCTTCTATAAAATGGCAATAGTGATAGTCCCTACTTCATAGATACTAATAAGCACATGAAGGGCTTAGAAAGTCATCTGGAATATGCTAAATAAGATTAGCTATTATTCTTCTAAAAGTGGCTCTTCTAATTAAGCAATAATATATCAAAAGCTTTAAACTATGCATGCCCCTTAAATCTGCAATTGTTTCTCAAAAATAATCCTATGTAGGGGCCGGCCTGGTGGCACACTCGGTAGAGTGCAGCGCTCGGCAGCGCGGCGGCACTCCCGCCAAGGGTTTGGATCCCATATAGAGACCGGTCCGCTCACTGGGTGAGCGCAGTGCAGGCGCGACACTGAGGGCTGCGATCCCGTTGCCGGTCGTGGTACGGGTGTGACACTGAGGGTTGCAATCCCGTTACCGGTCACGAAAAAAGACAAAAAGGAAAAAAAAAAAAATCCTATGTAAAGACCACAGAATGTCAGTGTACATAGAGTCATTTATAATTATAAAATAATTGAAAACAGAATGTCCAAATAGTAGGCTTCTTAAATTACAGCATATACTGAGGGTTGCAATCCCGTTACCGGTCACGAAAAAAGACAAAAAGGAAAAAAAAAAATCCTATGTAAAGACCACAGAATGTCAGTGTACATAGAGCCATTTATAATTATAAAATAATTGAAAACAGAATGTCCAAATAGTAGGCTTCTTAAATTACAGCATATCCATACAATGGAATAAAGCAGGTTACAAAAAAAGTATAATACCTTTAAATGTCTTTAAAACATATACTTAGGAGAAAAAATCTAGAATATTCTCTAAAATGTTGGTTATCTCTGGGTAATACAATTATGAATAATTTTAATGTTCTTTTTGCTTATTTGTATTTTCCAAACTTCCGATAATGAATGTGACCTTTAATAAGCCACTTAACCTCTCTGAGCCTTATATTCAAAATGGTGATATAATAGCACTGTATATATAATAGTGTATCTTTCTCATGGGGATGATGTAAGGATTAAACAAAATTATACATGCAAATTCTTAGCGTAATGCTTACTATATAACACGGGCTCAACACAGAGCAACTGCAGAGGCCTGGAGTAAGGACAGGTTTCACAGACCTCATGATCCACTCAACAGAATCCTTCTATATTTCCACACTGGTCATCTTCTCCTACATTTTGCATAGCCTGACCTCTTTGCCTGTACTCCTTACTTTCCTTCTCCACTTGGCTAATTCCTTCTTATTCTTTAAGGTTCAGCTTCAAAGAACACATTGTCTTGGAAATCCCAGGCTTCCACTGTGCTTCGATGATTCATGAGGCAGGGATGTATCTCAGGACTCCCTCTCTACAAGGTTACCAAACTGCCCTAAGGATTCTCTTACCCATCCCTTCTTACCCACCCCAAGGAAAAGAGCTAAAAACCACAGAGGAGAGATTCAAATTGGATATCAAGAAGAGCTTCTTAATAATGAATGAAAGGCATTGGTGTGACTACCTGAAGAAGTGAAAAGAAGAAATAACTTTTCAGGGTCTTTCCCTTCCTTCCAGGTAAGGGCAGTGTACCCTTCATTTAGGCAAGCAAAAGATAGGCAGGTGCCTCAGGTGCTCGAGGGCCTGGTTAACTAAGGTTGAGGTTTTACCTGCTGGAGCATCCTGCTTCAATGTGATCAGCCAGGGTTCTGGGTCACAGGCACAAGGAGTGCTATCCACCTGGTCATGGGGCCATGGGCTGGGGCATGGCTTCAGCAAAGGGCTGAGTTCTGTAGGAATCAGAGCCTGAGGCATGAGAGAAGACAAGAGCCACACACAGGTGAGGGCTTGCTTCTCCAGGGTGACTCACTGCTACTCTTTCCACCAAGCAAGAGATGCCAAAATGAGAACCAGGGCAAGCCTAGGCAGAGTGAGAGCCATCCTTTCCCTTGCTAATTAGGGAACAGGGGAAACTTTTATGAGAGCCTCCAAAGACTCTCTGGACCAGTTTTATTACAGGGTTAGGGCTGGAGTAGGACTGAAGATCTTCGGGGTCAGTATGCCACAGAGTATAAAGACGACACTAGGAGACAGAGAAGCCTCGTGCTCTATCCTCTCCACTAGACAAAAATAACCTGTTTCAGCATAGCTAGTGTTTGGTGGGTAGAGGAGGCTGGAGTCAACTCCCGATGCTCCAGGAAAAGCTGTTGTGTGGGAGGGGAATCACAGCTTAGCTATATGCTGTGTGTGACCTTGAGCAAGCCACATCACCTACCTCGATTCCTCACCTTGAAAATGGGGATAGTTAAATTTACCTCACGAGGAGTAGCTCTGAAGGTCAATGAGGTCATGATTTGAAAGCACCATACGAAATACAAATCTGGTACTGACCAGCTGCTCCCCGCCAAATTAAAAAAAACCCCAAAGTACAAATCTGAATATTCACTTAGCGGGTGAATATTTTTAGAACTAAGGGTTGATCCATTTGGGGGCACAAATCAGAACTTCAAGAACTTCAGTGTCAACTTCAAGAAGGTGATGATTTCAAGGGAGGGGAATCCATTTGAGAGAAGGGGTGTTGTGAGCCTGGGCCGAGGCCAATCTCTGAAGAATGGTAAGTCACTCTCAGACTTGGAATTTTCCAGGATTCAGCACCTCCCCCACCAGGAAGGGACGAGAAGGGTATCTGTAATGGATTAACACTGGTGGAGGTCTTTTTGAGGCTCTGAATACATCTAGTTTTTAAAGGACCTAGGGATAAAGACTTTCATGGAAATTGGAATAAGGACAATTCAGGCAGAAAAGGGCATCAAGACTGTGTTAGACACATTCACCCTGGACACTAACCCATTCAGGGAACAGCCACACAGAAGGCTCTGGAGACTCAAGGAGAACAAAGCTCCCCCAACCGGAAGCTCATGTTAAGAGAGAGGTCCAGATCCGGAGGACAACAGGTTGTGGGGTTAGAATCCAAAGCCCACAACCCGTCTAAAGCAGATCACAAGAGCTCTTAAACCTAATTCTGTTTCCTCATTTACAAAATGGAATAATAATTTCTAAACCTCATAGTGCTAAATTAAGGGTCAAATGGGCTAGTACCTGTGAGAGAGCTTTGCAAATGTTGGTTGTTAGGATGCCTGACGCAGAGTTAGCTTCCAGCTGGAGTCAAGTCAGATTAGAGCAGTTTTCTCCAGTTCTCCCAGCTCCTGCTCCCCTTGGCTTCGCATTACAGCCAAGGATTTCTGGGAAGGGTGTGACCACTGTGGGTAGAAGGGAGATGGTAATGAATAGAAGGAACACCTGGTCAAGGCAAGTGGCAACCTGATCACCAGCTCCTCTTCCCACTTCCCCCCAGCCTCAGTTTCTTTCTTGGCTCGGAGAAGGACAACGGGAGGGCAGAGGCGAAGAGTTGGTTAAGGGTCCTGGGAGCCCAGCTGGCCCCGCCTTAGTCTGCTGGCGGGAACCAGGACTCCCGGTCAGGGCGTCGTGCCCGCCGTGCCCAGGGCTGGGATGCCGCTCCAGAAGCACCTGGCACGGGGAGAGTATGTCCTTCCCGGGAAGGTGGACATGACCCCCGCCAAGGGCGCGGCTGCTCCGCCTCCTCCCCGGTCCTTGGGTAGGGCGAGGAGAGGGGCAGGCGCCCGGTCCCTGTCTGCCAGCCGGGACCCTGCACCCACCCAGGCCTCTCCCTGCCGGCAAGATGAAAAGGTGGAGGGTAACCCATGAAAGGTCCTTATTCTGGGCAAGGGCCAACAGCAGGGCTACCTCCCTCTGGGACACGGGAAAGTCAAAAAGAAAAGTGACGAGAGAAAGGAAACGGAGCTTTGGCAACGGGAGAGGGACGCCCCCATCTTCCTCAGCGCGGCGGGGCAAACCGGCTGCCGCTGGTCCTGCCCCCTGCGGGGTCGCTAAGGGCTTCGGGTCTGGACTGGGGATGGCACTCACCGGTCCCACGGCCTAAAGAGCCGAGCGTGCGGCCCCCACCCGGCTCGACTGGTAAGGCGGACAGACCGAGTGAGGAGGCGCGAAAAGCCCGGGGCGGGGAGGGAAGAGGAGTGGCGGAAGGGAGCAGGGAGGAGAGAAAGCCGGTCCATGGTGGAGGTCTTTTTGAGGCTCTGAATACATCTAGTTTTTAAAGGACCTAGGGATAAAGACTTTCATGGAAATTGGAATAAGGACAATTCAGGCAGAAAAGGGCATCAAGACTGTGTTAGACACATTCACCCTGGACACTAACCCATTCAGGGAACAGCCACACAGAAGGCTCTGGAGACTCAAGGAGAACAAAGCTCCCCCAACCGGAAGCTCATGTTAAGAGAGAGGTCCAGATCCGGAGGACAACAGGTTGTGGGGTTAGAATCCAAAGCCCACAACCCGTCTAAAGCAGATCACAAGAGCTCTTAAACCTAATTCTGTTTCCTCATTTACAAAATGGAATAATAATTTCTAAACCTCATAGTGCTAAATTAAGGGTCAAATGGGCTAGTACCTGTGAGAGAGCTTTGCAAATGTTGGTTGTTAGGATGCCTGACGCAGAGTTAGCTTCCAGCTGGAGTCAAGTCAGATTAGAGCAGTTTTCTCCAGTTCTCCCAGCTCCTGCTCCCCTTGGCTTCGCATTACAGCCAAGGATTTCTGGGAAGGGTGTGACCACTGTGGGTAGAAGGGAGATGGTAATGAATAGAAGGAACACCTGGTCAAGGCAAGTGGCAACCTGATCACCAGCTCCTCTTCCCACTTCCCCCCAGCCTCAGTTTCTTTCTTGGCTCGGAGAAGGACAACGGGAGGGCAGAGGCGAAGAGTTGGTTAAGGGTCCTGGGAGCCCAGCTGGCCCCGCCTTAGTCTGCTGGCGGGAACCAGGACTCCCGGTCAGGGCGTCGTGCCCGCCGTGCCCAGGGCTGGGATGCCGCTCCAGAAGCACCTGGCACGGGGAGAGTATGTCCTTCCCGGGAAGGTGGACATGACCCCCGCCAAGGGCGCGGCTGCTCCGCCTCCTCCCCGGTCCTTGGGTAGGGCGAGGAGAGGGGCAGGCGCCCGGTCCCTGTCTGCCAGCCGGGACCCTGCACCCACCCAGGCCTCTCCCTGCCGGCAAGATGAAAAGGTGGAGGGTAACCCATGAAAGGTCCTTATTCTGGGCAAGGGCCAACAGCAGGGCTACCTCCCTCTGGGACACGGGAAAGTCAAAAAGAAAAGTGACGAGAGAAAGGAAACGGAGCTTTGGCAACGGGAGAGGGACGCCCCCATCTTCCTCAGCGCGGCGGGGCAAACCGGCTGCCGCTGGTCCTGCCCCCTGCGGGGTCGCTAAGGGCTTCGGGTCTGGACTGGGGATGGCACTCACCGGTCCCACGGCCTAAAGAGCCGAGCGTGCGGCCCCCACCCGGCTCGACTGGTAAGGCGGACAGACCGAGTGAGGAGGCGCGAAAAGCCCGGGGCGGGGAGGGAAGAGGAGTGGCGGAAGGGAGCAGGGAGGAGAGAAAGCCGGTCCAGCAGGATCGTACGCGCCCGGCTGCCGCCCTGGCCGAGTGGCCGAGAGCCGGCCGGCTCCTCCCCCGGGGCGGGGCGCGCACACGCGGCTCAGGGCGCACGTGGCCCTCCCGGGACGCCCGGGTCCGGGGTCGATCTGGGACGGGGTATTTTGAGAATCTCAGTAAGATAAGGGTAAAACGGCGGCCTTCCGTGTCCTGTGGGGAGAAACTCGGGAAGCGCGGTGTCCTGAACCTCCGCGCGCTCCCGGAACTGCGGGGTTTTTCAGTAGAGGTCGCCGTGGCCGAATCTCGCGCGGGTTCCTCAGACCCCATTACCCTGACAGGGCCTCGCCGCGGGGTCCAGGGGGCTGCAGCGAGGCGCATGACACGCCTTTTCCGCTTCAGGCGCTCCTCTGACAGGCGCACAGCCTCGACTCGAGAGGACCTGGGCTGGACAACAGGGAAAGCCGAACGTGGGGAACCAGCGCGTGCCATCCTGCGCGGGGGCGCAGAATCTGCCGGCCCGGAAGTGCAGGCTGCGCCGCGTCGGCCGGAAGCGCCGCTCGGGAGGCGGAAGCGGTTGGCTCCGGCGTGGTCCCGCGGGCGCAGTGGCCTCTCCGCGGCCCGGCCCGCGTAGACCCTGTCTGTCGGGGGCGCCGGCACCACCCGAGGCGCAAGCGAGTGAAGTGTAAGGGTGGGGCGCGGCTGTGGTGGGCGTCTGTCAGGAAAAGGACTTTTGTTTTTAAAATTTAAAAGCCAGTCGATTCGGGTCGGTTACGTGAGGTGTTGTTTCGGGGCCCAGACAGGCCATACTCACGTATGCATTCATTTGTATCGTCAGTATTGTTCATGTTTGACCAACAAATGAATTTTTGTTCTTCCAGCGTGCCGCTTTTCTGACACTAATATGTGGCAGAGATGTTTTATATCACTTTTAAAGAACAGCTAACACTAGCATGTGCTGTATGCGCTGTACGTCCATTCTGTCTACTCACACCTTAACCTGAAAATGTCGCTGTCTGTAAGTGAGGGAAGTAACAGCCTGAGGTGCGGGAGACAGCAGGGCTCACATTTTGTACCAGAGGCAGTAGGTTTAGAGGAGCCTTGAACAGAAACCGAGGCCCCCGACTCCGAAGTACTTAAAGCTTCTTCCCCCGCCCCCCCACCGCCCTCCTAGCCCCGAGTTTGGTGTAAAAGTATTAGTAAGGCGTAATTAGTTTTCGTTAATAATCTTCATGACGTATACTATGCTCTGTAAATAGAAATTCCTACCTGACTGTGATGCCATTCTCAGGGTTGATATCAAATTCACTTTCCTTGTGAGTCTATCATATACAGGCTGTCCCTGACTTAAAACTTCGGATGGTTTTTCCACATTACAATGGTGCGAAAGCAATCCACATGCCGTAGAAACCCATACAACCATTCTGTTTTTCACTTTCAGTACAGTATTCAATAAATTACCTTAGACATTCAACACTTTATTATAAAATAGGCTTTGTGTTAGATGATTTTGCCCGACTGTAGGCTAATGTAAGCACGTTGAAGGTAGGCTAGGCTAAAATATGATGTTCCATAGGTTAGTTGTATTAACTGCATTTTCAACTTAGGATATCTTCAATTTAGGCTGGGTTTATTGGGATTGTACCCCATCGTAAATCAAGGAACATCTGAAAATAGCCAAAGCTTTCTAACCAATAATTTCATGCTATTAGTGTGACTTTGCTATTCTAATACATCAGTGTTAGGCTTCTTCCCACAATCCTTGGAAGGGGAATCATGAGTCCTAGGTTCTGCCCCTGATTTGGAATCATTAGGGCCTAAAAATCTGCTCTGAAACAAGAATAAGAGTAAAAGCAAGTCAGGTACATATATATGCCAATCCCACAAGAATGTTGCTTTCCACAAATCTGTTCCTTTGCTCTTGCTTTCACAGGAAGAAAAATGTCTCAAAAGCAGATGAAGGAAGATTTTGTCAGTAACCTTAATGGAACCAGCGTGCTGGAAATCACCAAGGGCTTGTGCTATCCTCCACTCTGTATCTTGGTCAGAGGGCTTCTGATCATTTTCTCACAGCACTTGTGTTCTTCTTCACATACCTGGAGAACTCAATTCTTTATTGACTTTGTGTTCCTAATAGTTCCCATGGTGGCTATTTTGACTGTTTTGCATCCATTTGTTGGCCTTGATTATCTCACTGTAATTATCTTTGGGGTCGGGTTGCTCTATCAAATATACCAAAGGAGAACTTGCTATGCCAGAGTACCTGTACAGAAAATCCTTGAGAAATTCTTGAAAACCAGCCTAGAATCAGAATACATTCCAGCCATCTCTTCTTTCCGTGTAGTAAACAGTGTATTTACTGCTATTGCCATTTTGGCTGTGGACTTCCCACTTTTTCCCAGAAGATTTGCCAAAACTGAGCTCTATGGGACAGGAGCAATGGATTTTGGAGTAGGCGGCTTTATTTTTGGGTCTGCAATGGTTTGTCCAGAGGTAAAGAGGAGAAAATATATGGAAGGATCCAGATTTTATTGTTTTAAAAAGTCATTGTACTCTGTTTGGCCGTTAGTTTTCCTAGGAATAGGACGATTAGTCATTATAAAATCCATAGGTTATCAGGAACATTTCACTGAGTATGGAGTTCACTGGAACTTTTTCTTTACCATAATAGTTGTAAAAGTGGTAGCATCACTGCTTTTGATAATTTTTCCTTTAAATAAATCCTGGATTATGGCCATCAGCATTACTGTATTATACCAGCTAGCCCTTGATTTTACCCCGCTGAAAAGGTTAATTTTGTATGGCACTGATGGCAGTGGCACAAGGGTTGGTTTATTAAATGCCAACCGAGAAGGAATAATCTCTACCTTGGGGTATGTGGCAATACACATGGCTGGTGTGCAAACAGGGTCATATGTGCTTAAGAACAAATCACATAGTAAAGACTGGATAAAAGTCATGTGTTGTCTTCTACTGGTAGCTATTAGCCTCTTTATATCTCTTTACATAGTTCAAGTCAATGTAGAAGCAGCATCTCGAAGGATGGCCAATTTAGCCTTTTGTATTTGGATAATTGCTTCTTGCCTGATTCTTCTCAGTGGTTTATTACTGGGCGATATAATTTTGAGTTTTGCAAAATTTCTAATTGAAGGGGCTGTAGTACCATGTTCTTGGAAACTTACCCAGTCACCTGCTACAAATAGAAAACATTCAGAATCTCTAGTCCCTGAAGCTGAAAGAAAGGAACCCAGTGTTTGTTTAATCACAGCTATGAACAGACACCAGTTAATTTTTTTCTTGCTGTCAAATGTAACAACTGGCCTGATCAACCTGATGGTAGATACATTACACAGCAGTACCTTGTGGGCCTTGTTTCTGCTCTATTTCTATATGTTTACCAACTGTTTAATTACATATGTAGCACATTTGCAAGATGTGACTATAAAATTTTGGTGATCAACAGGGACAGATGTATCTGTATTTGAGCAATGTTACTTTAATGGGGAAAAATATTAAATGTGAAGAAAATGTGCTTTTGGTAACCCAGTGTTAACCGTATAACATCTCTTCTTTAAATTTAATTAGACAAATTATACTCAAACTAGTAGATGCCCTGGGAAGGCAATCAACATTAGGGCTAATAAAAAGCTTGAATAGTATAAAAGGGCTGGAGGAGGTATTGTAGAACCTTTCTAGCACTTATGAGAGGTAAATTAACACCAATTGCTAAACATAGAAACTGGATAAATTTCAATATTCATTTAGAAATTAATTTTATGATGCTGTCCTAAGTATTAAAATACAGGTTATACTTAAATCATTCAAAGTTTGGCATGTTCACACATGTGCACAAAGTATTTGATAGATATTTACACACTGGGAGACACAATTATGGTCTGACTTTGGAGTTTTGGCAGATCTGGGTTCAAATTCTGGCAAGTTTCCCTACTAGCTTTTTTTGGGTGCGTGTGATCCGAACCCTCGGGCGGGAGCGCCGCTGCGCTTCCCAAGCGGCGCACTATCCAGTGCGCCACCGGGCCGGCCCCGTATTTTAATGTATCGATACTGTATAAAATAAACTAAGAGAACAAAGCCTTGGGACATGTTAGAATTTATTAGAAGTCCATATTGTTTTTTTCTTTTGGCGGCTGGCCCATGTGGGGATCCAAACCCTTGACTTTGGTATTGTAATACCATGCTCTAGCCAGTTGAGCTAACTGGCCAGCCCAAAAGTTGAATTTTTCTTTTTTTTTGACCGCTGGTCTGTATGGGCTAACTGTATTTTATAGAAACTGTTTATAGTTGTGACACTGGAAGATTGGAGGTGGAGAGGATTTTATTTTCCATCTTAATGTGACCTTATGGCATTCTGTATTTTTTATTGTATTACTTTTATTATAATAAATGTAATATACATTTATAGTAGACATCAAGACATTTCAGTGTGAATTATGGATTGTCAGTACTTCTTTACTGCTCAATTTTTTGTGTGTGTGGGTGGCTGGCTGTATCAATTTTAATCTTTTAGTAAAGCCTAGGAATAAGAAGCAAGTGTTTAAAGTCAGATACTTATATACTATGAAGTAAGAAAAGTTAAATGCTCCAAAGAATGGACTGAATTGTATGATGTGGTTTACATACATAATAATTATCAGACAATAAAAGTTTTGCTTTAGGGCTGATTCATTTTTTTGGCCTACTCTGTGCTAGGGATACAATGATAAGTAAAGTATAAGTTTCCTGGTATCTTGGAGCTTTTCAATTTAGTGGGGAAAACAGACATGAAACAACTATTATAACTTAAGTCATGAAGAAAAAGTATAGGTTACCACAAGTGTCAAATGAAGAACTGATCTAGTAAGGAGTCAAAGTATTCTCCACAGAGGGTATTTTTTTGAGCAGAGCTAATGGATAGGATGAGGAGTTAAAGAGTATGTGTGTTTGGGGGGTGGGAAGGGGTAAAAGCAGAAAGCATTCTAGGTAGGATGAATCCTTCAGTAAAAGTCCTAAATTGGGAGGGAACCTAGAACTAAAAGAAGGCTGGAACTCAAAAAAAGGGAGAGCATGGGCAGTGAGCTGAAGAGGCAGGCAAGGGCCATATTTAAGGCATGCCTCACCATGTTAAAGAGAAAGAAAACTAGTGAGAAAGGTAAAAGTTATTAAGTACCTAGTCTAAATTAATAAAACTATGGCTATATTAAGGTTCAATATACTACAGAGAACTTGAGTCACTTAAACTCGGAGCAGACCTTTAAATCTGCTGTTCAAAATCTTTTTAAAACCCACAAAATCCTTAGTTTCCAAATCTAATGTTCACTGTATATCATTCAAAGTGGGCAAAAAAAATCAATTAAAATTTGCCTTTAGTTCTATTTTTTTTTTTTTTTTTTAAAGATGACCAGTAAGGGGATCTTAACCCTTGACTTGGAGTTGTCAGCACCACACTCACCCAGTGAGCTAACTGGCCATCCCTATATGGGATCCGAACCCGTGGCCTTGGTGTTATCAGCACCGCACTCTCCCGAGTGAGCCACGGGCCGGCCCTAGTTCTATTTTCAAGTAGCAATCTCATTACTGCAGAAAAAGCTAGGGGTCAGAATGATGGTAAACAACCTGGATTATTTGTGTAATGTAGAGTAGGTGGAGCCTCTTCTGATATTAAATTGTAGATTTGCTGTTTTAATTAGTTGCCTCAAAGTTAAAAAATTTATTAATATGACTATTGCACTAGTTAGTTTACTTCAATTTGTTAAAGTGATGGCTAATTTAGCATTTCTGTGGCACTTTATATTTGCTAACTACAATCAGTTACATTTGGAGTTAATCTATTATTGAAAGAAATCCCCCCCACCCCGCCAAAGAAATCAGTATGTTTAATAGTTATGTAACTGAAAATAAAGATCAGATTTTATTTTCAGTTAAAAGACTTCACGGGTAAGGGGATCACAACCCTCCAGCACGATGTTGTCTGCACCACACGCTCACCAACATCCTTACATAGGATCCGAACCTGTGGCCTTGGCGCTACTAGCGTCACACTCTCCCGAGTGAGCCACAGGGCCAGTCCTTAAAAGTAAGACTTTTATAACACCAAGGTCAAGGATTTGGATCCCCATAGCAGGCCAGCCACCAGAAAAAAAAAAAAAATGTTAAGACTTTTGAAATATAACCAATAAGGTTATATAGTATGCAAATTATGCATGGTTTTCCCGCTAACTATGTCACTGAGGATACCCCACAATTTATCTGTTCAGCAATACAGAGAAGGGCAGAAAGGCTCAACCATGTTATTCTCTCATTTAGAAAAAGCAATTAAGTTATTTGATGACTTAAATGAGTATGTTGTCTAATTGGTCTGCTGCTTGGCATTAACTGCTTCATCCTTTTCTAGTTCTTAAATATTTCTCAGTAAGTTTATGTCTTTTTTTTTTAAAAGATGACCAGTAAGGGGATCTTAACCCTTGACTTGGTGTTGTCAGCACCACGCTCACCCAGTGAGCCAACCGGCCATCCCTATGTGGGATCCGAACCCTTGGCCTTGGTGTTATCAGCACCGCACTCTCCCGAGTGAGCCACGGGCTGGCCCCCAGTTTATGTCTTGACAATTAGATACTGAATCATAACTTAAAAGAACAAAGTGCACCCTGTTTTTTCCACCTCCAATTCTGAAAGTCACGTAAGAGCTAATAGCATTCATAAAAATAAAAATTAACATGCAAAGGCCACTCTGACTTGAACCTAGTTTACAGAAAAGAAAGATCAACAGAGTTATTGACCTCTGGCGTAGTAGGTTTGGGTGCCAGGGTAAAACAGAAAAGAAGACAAAGTCCCTCCTTCAAGGAGCTTACATTTTTAATTGTAAACATTATTTTTCCTTTAAAAAATTCTAAGTGGGAGGGCTGGCCCGTGGCTTACTTGGGAGAGTGTGGTGCTGATAACACCAAGGCCACAGGTTCGGATCCCTATATGGGGATGGCCAATTGACTCACTTGGGAGAGCGTGGTCCTGACAACACCAAGTCAAGGGTTAAGATCCCCTTACCAGTCATCTTAAAAAAAAAAAAAAAAAAAAAAAAAGACTAAGTGCGGAAAGTGTGTCTATTTTTGACAGATAAAACAGAACTTCCCAATTGTGAGCTCATGAAAAAGAAAACTCGATTCACAGATCCTCAGATTTCGACAGCTGTAGTAATTTAAATAATATTCTGCTATCAATTTTACTACCACACAAAACAATGTGGTTATTACAGTGAAAACAACAGAAGGTATTTTTTTTTTCCTTTTTGTCTTTTTTCGTGTCCAGCAATGGACCGCAACCCTCAGTGTCGCACCTGTACTGGACCGGGACCGGCAACGGGATCACAACCCTCGGTGCTGCGCCCGCCCCTCGCTCAGCCAGTGAGTGGGAACCGGTCTGTAAGTGGGACCTGAACCCTCGGCGGGAGCGCCTCCGCACTCCCAAGCAGCGCACTGTAGCAGTGCACCACCGGGCCGGCCCGACAGAAGGTATTCTAATCAACTATTTTCTTTGTAACTATCAATTTTTGAGGACAGAGAAGGGAGAAAGAAAGTGAAGATTGAACTAGGAAGAATATCATCTGGTCTAGGACTTTAGCCCATCTACGGCCTTGAGAAAGTGAGTCACTCCCATGATTTTAATTTTACACAATTAGAAACGGGATATCTACCACATGTGTACCAATAGTTCTGTATTCAGATGACAACCAGTTTTGTTTTTATTGAGCATCAATGTCCAATATATTAAATAAATCATACAAAAACATATTTTGTTCCCTAGGAGTTTACATATAGTCTATGAAGATAAATAATAAGGAATATGTTGTTACTGTTCATTTCTTTTAAACCTATGTGGCTTGGAGAATAGTCATATCTCATTTATGCCTAAATTTATGGCTGCTTTCTCACACATTGGGGACCTAACAGGAAAAATAGTGGTATTTTGCTGATAATTTATCACATCTCCGTCACACTTCAACTCTTCTTTATTAGGTAGCAGCAAAATGTGCTCTGCTGTTGTGTTATCTTTCCTGGTCTTTCCAATTCTTCTCCATGTCAACATCAAAATTAAAAAATAGGAAACAACTGGCTTTTTCATGTAGAAATCACTTGTTTTGTCAAGTGATCAGAGGTAAGCTCTCTAAGGGAGATACTTTTCATTTTAAAGTGCATAGGACAATATTCAAGAAATATTTGCTGCAGCACTAGTGGTTATAGCTGAAGATAGACCAATATAGAAAGTAAAAATAAGTGCTTACTCTAAAACTATTCGGAAGATGCACTGTAAAAACTTTGAAAAGTTCTTTTGCAATGAAATAATTTTCTAAGCAATTTCCTTTCGATATTAATTTTATTGTATTTGTAGCACTCAGGCTACCTTCTTGAGAAAAAGCAACTTATCTAGCAAGCTATCTACCTTTTTTAGCCTTAGAATATGTATTTGTTGAATGCCCATAGTATGTGAAGCATTATCCAAAGATACCAGGAAGTGTGCTCAGTGGACCTAA